TGAAGATCCCTCTATGAGCAACTCGAGTCTCTCGTTCAGAGACGCTTAACAGTTTTTTTGACAGTCTCTCTCAGCAACACCAGAGAGATTCGATGAGAGACGGAGACTCGAATCTTGGTTTCAGAGACTCTGAGAGACTGAACATTTTTATCTCGGCTAGTTTGTCAATTTATGGTCTAACAAAGACTTTGTAAGGTTTGCAAAAGTTTTCAAACCGCCACATTACGTATATTATTCGCGCCCTTACGTATGGTGGTAAAAACCGTTCGGACAGAGATTACACTGAAATGTTTACTTACTCGGGAAGGAATTCACGCTTTCCGGGTGCGTGAATTCCAAACTTACTTGTCCCTTTTTATTTTTTTTTTCACCAATTAATCGGATCGTTTATTGTTCGACGTACATTATTGCTGATTGCAGCTGCTTTGAACTGACTGAGCATACACATGGCCGACGATTAGAGGCTTACACTTATGTATATCACGACACTTAATGAACGTACCTAATGTTCGTGAAAGTAATTCAAAAACACCGCACGCGATTTACATACATACATACATATCTACCTATATATATATGTGCACCAAAGACAAACAAATGTTCGCGCCGTACGAACGAAAAAGGGGAGGGTCTTGACTGGAGGGACTCATTTAGGCGTGCAAGCAAAGTATATTTGAAGGGTTGGGGAAGCAACTAACTTCTCAACAAACAAGAAACTGGTGAATAATTAAATGCGTTTTAATGTCACTCATAAATGCATGTGTAATAGAGCAGAGTCTCTATATAACGGAGGATGACACCTTGGGGGTCGAAACACGTATTAGTTTTCTAAACGTTTTGTGGGATTTTGGAGTTTATTTGTTTATTACGTTTCGCAGCACTTAATTATATTTGATTTAATAACAAATAATCGACTACTCAAAAAATGGCATGTTCAAACGAACACAAATTAAATGCTTAGTAGTAAATTTATATGACTAGTTATTTTTTTATGCTCAAATAAGTAGTTTTATAAGTTCATTTAATTTAAATTATCGTTTTTCAACCCCGATGTCCAGACAAATTAAAAATCGTCAACTCAATCACCTGCCTCTCAACATCAGCCCTAAGACTGGTTGGACACGCACCTCCACCTTTTCCTATTCTAGCCCTAGAACATCCCATATCTTTCGTTAACTGTGAACAGTAATCTAATCTAATCTACCAATTTTATCCTGCCCAGACCTTCATGTCTCAGAAGGTACCCTATCATCCTATCACTTCTTTTCCTTATAGGCACGCATAACACCCTTTGTTCTCCTAGTCTTTCTAATACCACCTCATTCACATTGTCTGTCCACATTTTGCACATAGACAGAGTCATTACCCAAACATACACCAGAAAAAATTGAAATATTAATTAGAGTATGTAGGGAAAAAATTGGACCTATTAGTCCAACTCCAACCAATTAGGATTCGTTACTCATTTGTACAATTACAAAATGACACACTGCTCTGTTTTCGAATATTACAATTGATTACGGTTTCAATTCAAAATTAAATCATGTGCATTCTCAAATGCGTCCATATGCCAGAAAATCAATATGAAAATAGCATCGATCAAGAGTTAAAATCTCTGTTAACAAAAAAGTCGTGTTTCAATTAAATAAATAACCACTGTACTAACCAGTAGCCAATGACATTTAACATTGAAATTATTATTTAGAAATAGTTTTGCTTTTCAAGACAAATAACAGCAATTACTAGCTATATAAGAGACCCTATTATAAAACACTTACCCGATAAGCAACAAACAAATTGAAGAGAGAAATATAAAGCTTATCGTTTCCTTTTCAATTTACTAAACTAATATACCTCAGTCTCAGAATTTAGAATGAAATTGTTTATGCTTCTTTCATTGAGAGTCATTTCAATTACGATTAATTACCTAGAAAAGCTTTTCTATAAAATCTACAATTCTAGAATAAACAACTTAAGAAAAGCTACTTTTCCTACTTAATTTTTGCACTTAAATGAAGGCACATTAAAATATTGTAGACGAATTGAATTACAACAATCTGCAAGTACGTATCATTAACTATAACGAGTTATTTAAATATTCATTAAAACTTTGCTTATTTAGAGTTATGAAAAGTATTAGGTAAGTATACAAATCCTCCCCTAGTAAAGAGGAATAAATTGCAGCTTATTTTTGTAATCGCAGTAATGTACGTAGATGTGTTCTAATGGAAATGAAAATTTTCATTGATTCCTGTTACATGAAACTATATACCTTGAAAAAATTGACTTAACTATGCAAACAAAACATTATTCCACATTTTAACAAATAATACCAAAAAAAATAAGAAGCCTTTAATCCATGGTGAACCGAACAAAATAATTCGAAGTGGTTTGTATTCTGTCGAAACTGCCAGACGCGGATCGCGATTTCGATCTTTTTGGATCTCATCAGATGAACCATTTTTGATAAACAAAAATTTATCAAAATCTCTTGAATTGGTTCACTATTTTTACTGAAAAGCTCAATTTATGTTCCTACATTTAGCCATCTTCAGGAAAAGTTTATCGTACTATATGCAAAAACAAACTTAATACATATACAGGTACAGCAAAATGTTCACCGAATACAGAAATTACACATTTCTTTCTCAGCATTTTTTTTTAAGTCACACTAGCAAAAAGGCATTACATGTACATCGTGAACTTTTAAAATATATATTTTTTCATCATACTTCTCTGAAAACTAATCAAAAGTGTATACCCCTCAAAAACCTTAAACTGCATTTATTGGGCTTATATTATTTTATTACTTAAGGACAGCTAAAGTTATTTATACGAATTTCCCTATACCACGTCATATTTTCCAAAAAATGACGACGTCCTTCGATTGCATGTAATACAGTATCCCTACGTTCGGTTCTCGATTTGCTATCATTGCCATACTAAAGAAGCGCAAAGCAGACCGTGGTTTAAGGAGGGTTTAAATTTCAAAATTTAATTGATCACTGGTTAAAGCGTTATTTTCTGCAGCAACTTCTTGGATTTGTAGGCGTTTCTTTTAAAACAAAAAATTAATGGAAGTCTTTATGGAAGAATGCAACTTTAGGAGAATATATCTCAAAAGATGAGCTTTTACGTGATAGCACCCATTGAAACTTTTGATCTACAAGTCAAAAATTCAAAGAGTTTAACAGAAGGATATTTTCCATAAGGATCTAACGGGGTCCTTTGATACTAATTCCTCTTTTATTTTGTCAAACGTAATCACATATTTATTTGAACAACATAATAGTTAAATAAACTTTTCATGTATATAGTGTACTTAATAATTAATATCGATATATCCTACAAAGAATTGCTACAAATTGGCATTCAAATTGAAAATACGAAAATGAATTCTCAACCACTCCAACGATTCCTAAATAATGTCCAGCGACTTAGTTCCGGAATTTTTGATAAAATAAAAAGTATGAATATGCTGAATTCTGCTACTGATGTGCAATAATAGGTTTTGATTAATGATAACTTATTAGTATAATTTTCTCACATTGCAGACTTTTAATGTTTATAAACATTATAGGCTTATTGCAACGGTTTTAACTCAGCCCTTTCATCGAAATCTGCGAACCGAGAATTAAAATTTCATTGGTTTAGTGTTTAAAGGACATTTTTAATGGGTTTAAATGAAGTTTAGAACGTTAATGAGGATTGCATTTAATAAAAAGCTAGCCCGAACGAAGAAATGAACCATTAACCGTAGTGGTTTTGCCGGGTACGTGGTTCACCTCTAATTTCAACCTAACCTAACCCAAACCACCACGCATCTTATTTTTGAAAATCATATAGGTGCAAGTGTGTGAATTTGTTGTTTTATTGATAACGAATTATGCGAAGCAGCAAATTAGGACACACCACTAGCACAATGCACATCTTTATTAACTTAACACACACACGTTGATTGCACAATGCAAGTTCAACTAGTTTGTCGAAACCAGTAGAAGCTAATCTATAACTTTTACTTTATCTGAAGTATTTCCTTGCAAGGAAAATGTACAGATTATGAATACATATTGTAGCAAAAGCTTTTACTTTTACCCTGTGCTTCTACCTTTCACTTGAAAGTAAGTGGTTTATTTCTTTAAATACAGTCTAAGGACTCCGTTACTATTATTTATGTACATGTATGGGTACATCATTTTTCAAAACCAATTTACATCACAGATGTGGTGTACCCGTATGTCTTCTCCAATATTATTATGTGGTACGTTATCTTAATTTACAATTAACACTGGTGCGGGTCCCAACAAGATTATTGTACATGAATTTTAAAGGATTTAAATGAATCCTGAGTACATTAAAACGAACTCTTACAGGATTTATAACTGTAATCATTTTCATGCACCAACAGATTCTGTATCATTTGGTTCAACATTCAAATATAATAAGAGACATGCTTCAGTTTAATTGCATAAATAATAGCTTCATAGTGGACCCTCAAAGTTGAATTTGTTTCAATTTTTGCTCTCAATGAATTCTAATGTCTGACCATATAGGTAGTTAAGAGAGTTACGAAAACAATTTGGTTGATTTTTCATAAACTAATAATATTTTACCAAACATTTCAGAAAATTATATTTATCGAATTTAATAGTGAAACGACTGAAAGAATACTTTTGAGTTCATAGAATAATTTTGTAATGTTATCGGCTACAGCACCACTCGAAATAAAAAGTCATTATCCTGCGGCAGTTCTTTAACAGAAGATACCTATCTCGGTTAATTACCAAAATTTTTTTTGCGTTAAATCAGACCAGTTTACTAGTAGAATTTACAACTTATTTTAAATGTAAAAGCTGAAAGATTCTAGGGAACGATATTTCGACTATGGTGTAGTCTTTTAGGCAGTGGGCCTAAAAACAATTAACATTTTAATACTGAAAGTTATGTCACATGACATGACACGCTTGGAGGGGTTGTTAAAAATAAAAATCGTCACTCACCTAATTGGACGTACATCTTGGGCCGCACGTTCTCCTGCCATGCCGCGAAGCACTTTGTAATCGCACAGACGGTCACCAAAGTAAAAAGAATCGAAGTCGTCATGTCCACTGCTACCACGCGACGATCATTTCAACACGAAACGTCACCAAAAAGGACTACAAAGAAAGAAAAAAACCAAATGAACCCGTCACACGAAAAAGCCGCGTCAACAAAAGAGCAATCGGCGACAAATAACAAAGCGGTAGTAGTACTACGATCCGTCAGTCAGTCAGAAACTTCACAAAATGTAATAACTGCTGCAGTGACGATGCAGACGACAAGACGTACGAAACGTCGCGAACGACTGACATCGACTGGTTGCGACGACGCGTCGCGACGCTCCCGCCAGCTGACTTCCCCACCACCAGAAGCAGCAGCAGCGTCGTTGTTTTCGGCGTCGGTTTTCGACTGCAGCGCCGGGGAAACCTGTAACGGACACATCCGAAATAAAATTACCATTCTCGTGGCACACTCACACGCTCTTTCTCTCTTTCTCTACACCATACACACTCATACAAACGCACATATAAATATATATATGTAATACGGTATAAAGGCAATTGGCAATAAAAGTTACTTGACATTTTTATTAGAGACGAAATGATGACGAAGAATGCTTCAGTCAACGACAAACAACGTCCACAAAAGGAAACGTTTATTAAACACAGCCACTTAATTCTAAATTAAATTATATGTAAAGTTGCTTACATACAATCCGCTCATAAGTTTAATACTTATCTACAAAGGATTACTTCCTTTGTCACAAAAAAAAAAACAAAAATCGTTATTTTCGTAAAAAGATTACCCGTTGAATTTCTAAATAACATTATTTTTCACATAAAGCTTCTTCAAGCGGAATTAGGCAATAGGTTAAATAAAATAATTCGAAATGGTCTGTATTCTGTCGAAACTGCCAGACGCGGATAACGATTTCGATCTTTTTGGATCTCATCAGCGCGTCGCAGACAGTTCCGACAGAAGACAGGCTAACTTTTACCTGCTGTCTTAACAGCGCGTTTTAGAAAACACCACAAATGGCGCGGTAAACGTCATCTGTAGTACGATGCTACATTTTAGGATTACGTATGCTCGAACAAGGTCCACTTGTGTGGATATCTACTTGCTGAAACTAATACCGGCGTAGCTAACCCCTCAACGTGATAGGCACGTTACCATAATCGAATAAAATAATTCGAAGTGGTGTGTATTCTGTCTAAACTGCCAGAAACTGTCAGGCAATAGGTAATTACCCTTTCCTAATAAGTCAATATCTCAAAACACCTCTGACAATATATATTCTATGGACGGCAATTTTGATTTTATCCGTTTTATTATGAGCGACTTAAACTAGGTATTATACTCAATGGAATAGTTCCATACACAGATATAGATAACGACGTAAAGGGTTGCGATGGCGAGTTCATGGATCTCACAAGGTTTCTAAAACAAAACTGTTGGATACATGGCTCCGAAGTCATTTCAACTATGTAGGAACCGTATAAAAAAATGAAACAAAAGCAGAAAGGTGAATGATTCTAGGGAACAATATTTCGACTATAGTATAGTCTTTTAGGCAGTGGTCCTAAAAACAATTAACATTTTAATACTGAAAGTTATGAAAAAAAAAGGATGATACACTAATTTTTTAACCAAATTTTCAGGGTAAGATCAATGATCTATCGTACTGTTAAGTTACACATTACATTCTTATTCCTAATCATTTTCCCTACATTATCCCCCGCTTACCTACTTATTTCTAATGAAATGTCCTTTTTCCTTCTTTTTTTACCATTACTTCTTTTTCTTCCTCCCAAACCCATACTACCTCATCGATTATTAACTTCTTGTACCCAAATTTAACCACCTTATACCCTTTTGTTCTTCCCTCCCCTTTTACCGTACGTTCCAACATCCTCTGTATTCTTCTCTCTTCCATGGTCACATCATCTCTTATACAAATCTCCGTCCCCATCAGCCTTCTACCATTTCTAAGTACCTTTAGCTTATATTCCCACTTTTTCATTCTTGTCCCATATACCTTCTTGGTATTCTTCTCAAAAAAAAAAAAACAGTTTCTATGTTCATTACATTTGTATTTCATACATTTAACTCACTTTATACTTTACATTAGACAAAGCTTTTCCAAATTTTGGCGCACTGTGGCGGTCATCCTAGGTGTTGATAGGTAAATTCCTTCGGTCAAAATTGACCTTACATTAATATAAATCTACTCTGAAACTTCGTCACACTTCCATACAGAAAAATAATCTTTACCAACTGTACCATGGGTCATCGATTGAACCCATTTCGAACTTTCGCCCACCCACGTGTACTTACGGCATGTTACCTTTTCTACCCATTAAAAAAAATATGAATAACCAACAACTCCACATTCTGAAAGAGCCTCCCTTCGAGCCCACACCGCAATAAAAGTGAAGAACATCGTAACAATTGCTCGAAATCATTTTAATTGTGAAGACATACAACATTCTTATCAGATTTAAGCAGGTCATATTAATTTGGAAAGGGAAGAGGGGCTAGCGGACGCATTGTAAACTTCTGTGAAGCTTAATATGTTATTTAGACATTAATGAATCAATAAAATAAATTAATATAATTTCTGTTTTATTCCAAGAGATGAAGGTACTTATTTAGAAACTTAACAGATTAGCTACATGTTAAACTCTGTACAATTAGTTGACAAGATGTTGACAGATGAAGAGAGTAGTTTCGCAATCGCGATTCATGCCCTGCAGTTTTAACAGAATACCAACAAATAATGTATTACTGTATACTAATACAAATATATGTTGTATGCTAAACCTACCCGTACCCCCAGACGGGAATCATATAGGGTTGTTCGGAAAGTCATTTCGTTTTTTTTTGTGGAAATGAAAGACAGTTTTCGTATAATAAACAAATACTTTATTAAATTATATATTGACCGTTCTGGTCCAACACCTTTTGCCATCTTTCTGGTAGTAGCATAATTCCACGCTCATAAAATTTTTGGTCTTTGCTGGCAAAAAACTGATCGAGGAGGTTTTTGACCTCCTCATTTGAGGTGAAGGTTTTACCGTCTAAAAAATTTTGGAGTGACCGGAACAAATAATAATCCGATGGTGCCAGGTCTGGAGAATATGGTG